GATACGTCACTTCGTCTGCCTACCGACGATTTGTCCACATCTTTGATTTTATTATGGGGGGGTTGGATGGCTGAATGGTTAGCGTGTGCATGCTGTATCATAAAGTCTGTCATTGAGTCAACTGGCGTGGGAGGAAACCGGAGGACCCACAGAAAACCCACGAGGTTGGACAGGCGACCCTACTCCTTGTCACTCAAAACCGGGGAATCGAAACCCCGCCAGTTGACTCAATGACAGACTTTATGATACAGCGCGCACATGCTAACCATTCGGCCATCCAACCCCCCTCCAAATAAAGGTGTTCTAAAATCATTTATTGCTATTTTGATCTTTTGTGTTGATAGCTAGTATATTTATAGATCCTTACGCACAAGCGAATTATTGAAATAAAAGTAAACCATACGTTAGTCCAGAAATGACCTAGTTTGTGTCGAGTGGACGTTGAACCTCATTTCTCTCTCCTCTCGCTTTAATACGACACCTTGGTGCAGAACTTAGCGAAGTTGGAAATATACTGACAATAATTTAACAACTGGGATGGATATAATCTGTTTAAATGGCGATGTGATAGTTTGTGATTCCCTCGGAGATGTGTGACGTTCACAAATAACAGAACAAGGTTGACAGAACAATCAGTTAAATGTCACTCGACTTCTATAATGACTTGTTCATGTGATTTCAGTTACAGAATTCTCTTATTATTGAATTACAACCTGACCTTCTTTTATATCAGATCCAGTCAATTTCTACACAAATATATATTAAGGAAGGACTGAAGCTGTGATTCAATAAGAATAGAATTGTGAAAACAGTGGTTTGATAAAAACACAACAACATGCATGGGGCTTATATTGCATCAAACTTAAAGTAGCCAATTCTCTAACTCAATATCACCCGAAGTCTTCGACATTGAAAGCACAAATTATTTGTCAATTTAAATCAACACTGATGTTGTGATCTTACCGGGAAAAGATGGGCTTCAGATATCCAATATTTAAGACAAAATAAACATTTTACCATTGGTGCACAAATCGTGTACCATAATGCGTTTCAGCATCATTTGTAACAAGGGACTCAAAGAATGAGGCTAGACATATTTCATAAGTCATGTCAAACGGTGACGTCATATTCTTATCTGTAGAGCATGTGCAATAAATCCCATGCGTGTAAACTGGAATAACCAGATGCTAGAGATTGCCATTCGATTAAGACTTCTGGCGTATTTCGCCGAACATAACTGATTAGAATATACAGTAAAAACAGAAACTATTGAATGTAAATCAATTTATATACATCTATATTACATTATTATATGTGATACGACCCATTTGTGTCAATTTCTAGGTTCCAAATATTAGCGATTTAGCTCCTTTAAAGAGTGCTTTTGGGGTCTTCAATATGACTACACACTTTAAATCAGTGAAGTGGAGCCATGGTGACTAAGTGAATAGGGAAAGAGAGAGAATTGGGGTTTAAAGTCCACTCAACACAGACTAGGTCATTTTGGGACTAACATATGATTTAATTTTATTTCAAAACTTCACTTGCGCATAGGGGTCTTTAGCAGTGGGACCCAGAGAATACACACGAGGTTGGACCAGTGAATAGGGCTCTGACTCAGTAACCAGGAGGTCCTGGTGTTAGTTGAGAAGGTGCCTTATTAGGCTTTTCTGACCTGGTTTCCCCTTGTCAGTGATGCAAGGATGGAACGTCTGGTAAAGGAATAGTGAGGGGATCACGTGGCTAAGTGGGTAAGATGCTGGCTCGCTAGCCTGGAGGTTGGGTGTTCGATCCCTGCATTAGCCGAGAAAGTTCATTCAGATTTTCTGGCGTGGTTTCCCTTTGTCAGTGATGCAGGATGGAGGGCCTGACAAGGACAGCTGTCTAGTCGTTCGAATGGGACGAAAAACCAAGGTCCCGTGTACACATTGGCGTGCACGTAAAAGATCCCTTGGCAGTTGGAATTCGATATAAGAGTAGGCCGTAGCGCCGCTGCCAGGGCAAAATTTCCCTCATAGCACACTGTATGGCGTATGCCCATCTTCATTAGCCCAGGTTAGGAGCAGAACAGTAGGACGTTAAACCCCATTTCATTTCATTTCAAAGGAATAGTGACTACAGTCGTTTGGATGGGTTAAAAAACCAAGGTCTTGTGTACACAGTGTTTTTGTATGTAAAAGATCCCATGACAATTGGAATTTAAAATAGGATCTGGTTTCTCTATCCAAGCAAAATCTTGCTCATTTCACACTGCATGATTAATGCCTGTCTTCATTAGCCCAGGGGGGTTTGGATGGCCGATTGGTTAGCACGTGCATGCTGTATCATACGGCCTGTCATTGAGTCAACTGCCGTGGTTTCGAATCCCCGGTTGTACGTGGCAAAGAGTAGGGTCGCCTGTCCAACCTCGTGGGTTTTCTCCGGGTCCTCCGGTTTCCTCCCACTACTAAAGACCCCTACGCGCAAGCGTATTATTGGAATAAAATTAAACCATATGTTAGTCCCGAAATGACCTAGTTTGTGTCGAGTTGACGTTAAACCCCATTTCTCTCTCTCTCAATAGCCCAGTAACTGCAGAAAAGTAGGATGCTAAACTCCATTTCATTTCATTTACATACATAGATGTATGACATGTTGCAATAAATCTGCCCAGCATATTGTTAAATGTACATGTTACACTTGTAGAAAATACTTAGCCTACAATCTCATTTGAGAAAAGGGTCACCTAAACTTTATGTTAGAAAATAAACACGCAAATGCCTCTTTTGCATTATTAGCAGAAATGGAGAAAGCAGTCATTAAGTACCTTGGTTACTACGAATATAATTCAAGAGCATGGAGAGCTTTTTATGCATTATAACAGTAGTCAATACAGTCATCATTATTCCAGTTATTTACGCAAATAAACCCAGAAATCGATTCTCATTTTGACAATCCACTTTACCATAATTTGTTCAATCAATTGTGTATCAAGCTTTTTTTTTTCTCCTTTGTATCTAGTTCTTAGAATAATCAATCTTCCTAGTATAATTAGCCATTAATGGCCATATTTTATCTGCAAGAATTATGCCATCATATGCAGGACAATGGAGTGTGGTGGCTAGTCCTATAGCAAAAAGTTACCACTACACCTAACCCCCCTTCTTTGTTTTGAGGGGGTGGTTGGTTGGGGAGGGATCTTTCATGAACTAAGACCTTTATCACTCAATTGATAATTTTTAGTTTTCGATTTTTTGTGCCACAAAGCCAAAAAAAACCCTCAAAAAACATAACATTTTATTTATTAGATTAAATCTGAAGACGATACAAGCACTGCTTCCCCGGTTGTACGTGACAAGGATTAGGGTCGCCTGTCCAACCTCGTGGGTTTTCTCCGGGTCCTCCAGTTTCCTCCCACTGCTAAAGACCCCTATGCGCAAACTTCAAATATATATCTTTATTATATATATTATTACTGAGATCAATTTTCTGAACACAATCTCGGCGAAAATGTTTTTTTCCTTGAAGATAATTCTGAGTTACGTACCATAATGACAGGAATTTTCTTTTGTAGGTGGAATAACCTACTCATGAAATCCAACTGTATTTTCTGACACAAGAGTGGCATTCATAGCTTTATAATAATACAGCTGTAATGAACCGGTAGCCGTATATATAATCAGGGCAACCCTTGTTTTCGGTTATATATTCCTTCATATATTCTTTTGTGTTGTGTTCTCGGGAGCTGCGGCGGCTCGGTGAGTAAGACACTTGCTTGCGAGTCTTGAGGTACCGTGTACACATTAGCGTGCACTTAAAAGATCCCTTGACAGTTGAAATTGGATATAAGAGTAGGTCGTAGTGCCGCTTTCCAGGCAAAATTTCCCACATAGTCTGTCTTCATTAGCCCAGTAGGACATTAAACCCCCATTTTATTTCAAGTTGGTAAACAGCTTACTGAATTCCTTTTGTGTCTTGCCTCATGCTTTATTTGTCCTCTGCATATAACCCTAATAGAGTTTAGCTCTCTCATATAAGCTACTTCCAATCACTGTCATCTACAATACCAAATATATCTGACGGCCGTTTACGCCATGCCAATAACTGTCACTTTACAGGACACTGACTTTATTCTTCAAGATCATCAGTCAGAGACCTGCTAGGGCAATTATTATCCTATAAAGTTCTCACCATGGTTAATAAATTCTTCAACATACATTTCTCAATACATTAATTCTTCAATTCAAGCACCATTTCATGTAGCATTTCCAGTAAGTAATCAATGGAATAAAAACATGACTTAATTTGCAGACCACAAAAAAGGAATTCATGCTCAATGATAATAAACAAATTGTAGTTTAAAGATCTATGCATTATGTAAGATTTAAATAAAGAGCAGGCCATTCTTGCTATGATAGTTCAATAATAGATAATATAAAATGAATATATTGAACATTTTATTCAAATTGCTTTTTTTTGAGCAATGTTATCACTGTTTAAAGTTTTGACAAGATGTGGCATAGATTATTAATTATCGTAACAACAGTACTTGTTAATCAACACCCAGCCTCGCTTCTCCATTTTTAAATTAAATCATTAAATGGGAACTGTGTTATAATCCATTCAAATCTCTGCCACCCAATGTTCTAGAGAGTTGATTATAGGCTTGTTATGTGAATAAAAGTCTAAATAATAGTTCATATAACATTTAAAGCCAAAATAGGAGAGAGAGAGAGAAATGGGGTTTAATGTCCACAAACTAGGTCATTTCGGGACTAACATATGGTTTAATTTTATTTACATAATTCGCTTGTGCGTAGGGGCGGAAACCGGTGGACCCGGAGAAAACCCACGAGGTTGAACAGGCGACCCTACTCTTTGTCACGTACAACCGGGGATTCGTAACCACGCCAGTTGACTCAATGAGAGACTTTATGATACATCGCGTGCATCCATCCCCCCCATCAAAATAGGAAGATTTAGCTCTTACATAATGCATCTTTAAGTTAAGCGGAACTCACCTGTAGGCCATATCATCATCTTCTGCTCCCCACCCCCAGTACATGTTAGAATAACCATTAACTTGTGTATAATGTTCAATCCTCATACTTAATACACCACCAACTAATAGATCATACTTTAATCTGAAATATATAGAGAGAATGTATATATAACTTATTGAAAACAGACTATAGAGAATTAAAAGCAATGGAATATCCTGTAGACACATTCTACAAAATTATTTCATGACTAACACAAAGGCTTATGGCAATAAAATTGTATTCCAACTAGACCTGTTTCAATTCGCTACAAAATAAAAGTAATGTTTTAATTAAGTGCGAAGTATTTTATGAAGTGGGTATCTTCTGTTAAGATTTAAAATTTCAAAGAGTTTCGATGCCCCAGGGTAGAAGACTACCCTACTCCTCATCATGTACAAGTGGTGAATCGAAACAACACCACTTGACTCAATGACAGACCTTATGATACAATGCACACACATTAACCATTCGGCCACCCAACCCCCTGATTTTTGATAGACTATGTAGTTGGAAGGCAACCTCTTGTACGTATAGTACCCTTTCCACTTCAGCAATCCCCGCTTCCACAAACATCAATATAATAATAATGCCTGTCTATATAGAACGACTGTTTGATAACATTTGAATAAAGTTTTAAAGGTCATAGCTTACTATCTCTAATATCTTGAAATGGCGACTGAATGATGAGACAACATAATACCAGCAATTATTGAACATGTTACATGTATGATTTAATACCACAGGGACCATTTATTTAATGCATTTCTGCCACTCATAAATTTCCATGAAGCATGGCGTTTAGAACATACCACGTTTTTGCCAGAAATCCCTAGTTGTTATAAAACTTGCCAGACGTGACATTTTTTCCCAATATTTGATCTGTCATGTTTTTACTGCATTTTAAGCACTCTGTTAACCTATACCTTTGTGCTATTTCTTTTTATCATACTAGTAAAGAGAAGCAGACGCATTTATTTTATAAAACCAGATCTGTGGTCGATATTTTTACCAGGATCTAATTATGTAAACTGTATCTAAATAAAAGCCTATTAAGACATGAAAATTGTCTGTGTGGTTTGCATTTTAATGAAGGTTCAGACTGGGTTTTTTTTTTACAGTTGATGTTTTTATCTGTTTGAAACATGTTTCACTGCCATTATTATATGTTTTAATGTGTTCTTAGTATAGAATCATTGCTTAAACAGGCATTATGTAAGAGCTATTTCTGCCTATTGCAGGTCTTTCTTTGGGCCTCAAATGCTATATAAATTATCAATTAGACATTTATTAACATGACAAGACCATGGCTCCGATTTTATGATGATTAGAATGGTTCAGCCATTAAATGATTTAATTTTATAATGGAGAAGTGAGGCTAAAGCTTGAATGACCAGTATGGTGGTTACGATCAACGCACACGTCATGTCGTAACTACAACCATTAATAACTTCACTCAAAATAAAGTAATTTGAATGAAATTTTCAATATACATGTATTCTATTTTTGAAATATTATTGCGAGGACAGCTAGCTCTTTATCTAAATCTTACATTATGCCCCTTTAAGAATGGGGAGACATTGTTGATGAGTGAGTGAGTGATGTTGGTTGAGAAAGTTCCTCAGAGATTTATCCAGTCTTGTTTCCCCTTGTAAGTGGTGAAAGATGCAAGGCCTAGCAAGGAACAGTGTCAATTCAGATGGGAAGAAAAACCAAGGTCCTGTGTACACATTGATGTGCATGTAAAAGAACCCTTGGCATGGGCGTGGATTTAGGGGGGGGGGGCCCCCCCTTAGAATCGGAAAGGGGGGACGAATAGGTCTCTGCCCCCCCCCCCCCCCATGATTTTGATCACCAGGACAGATTTTCAGGTTTATATCCACATGAATGTCCCATTCTGAAGGCTATCTAACCACTGCCTTGGGTCTCGTTACAGTAATTCATGTTCACGATATCTTCCTCCTTAATTGTAGGTAGTCAGTTTTACCATATCGTCATCATATTACCCCTAATTACAGCTTTCATCGAGATAACACTGGTAAACTGTTCGTAATTATTATTTTGACTTGGTAATGAAAGGTTCCATGGTTCGCCCGTCCCCCCCAAAAGTTATGACAAATCCACGCCCTTGACCCTTGGCAGTTGGAATTTGATGATAAGTGGGCTGAAATGTCTCTCCTTGCACACTGCATGACAAACTGCTCATGTCCCCAGGTTCACTCCCAAAATAACCTGAGCAGAAAATCATCATTACTGAACTTAGTCAAGGTATTGATGTGATGAATCTATAGGAAGTATTTAAACCATACACCACAGGAGAGAACAATTTAGGTGTCCCACAGCATACCACATATTTAAATATTTGCTACATTTGTTAAATTTAAATGAGGAAAAGGGTCATTTGGGTGTCTGGCCCATTGAGACTTTAACAGTTCATTAATGTCATGTATTTATCTCATTTCAGGACAGAAGTTAAAGTAGAGTAACAACCTCATTGAGGATTTCTCATTAGCACTTCAAAAGTTCCTCAAACCATTCCATTATTTGTTCAAAGCTACCAGCTACTCCAACCCATCAATGAATTTCCTGCAGGTTAAGAGTTCATTGTTCCTGAAAAATGTGCCTAATGTTTCATATTTGGTAACGTGATGATTGTAGCAATTATTTTCACCTTGGTAAAGTTCCAGCAAACACCATTACCAATAAACATCAAAACTCCCAATAGAATTGGCCTATTATATATTTGATTAGATTGATAGACCATAAATATTCTATTATATTATAATATGTCAGTGGTAATATGGTGACACAGGCGATTTGAACGGTTATTTTCATTATACCACTGAATCTGTCGTAATTCCCTTGATGGTTACACTATATGTCTCGTACAGATGATATTTTATGTTCATCGACTCTTGTCTATTAATCAATAGTGAAATTACTTATCTTAAGGTTAAAACTGGCAATTCATCAATTATTTCCCCTGATACATGGAAATAAGTCTTCAACAAAACCGTACAGAAAAGAATTAAGCTGGTCCATTGGGCAATACAATTAATAATATCAGAAATATGTAATAAAATAAGTAACAATAAAATGGAAATGACAGAAGTGCTTTTGATTGAACCATTCACGAACTTCTGGATGCTGTCAATGGGCCTTTATGTTTTAAAGGACAAAGTTGAAACAAACAAGATAATTACGAACATTAGCAAAGAAAGGATTTCAGAGATATTTTCATTACAATGCTTTATTCAAAACTGTGATTTTCTTAAAATGATTTTCAGCATCAACAACCTCATATAGATGCGCATTGTACGTTAATCACAGGCGTACAGGCCAGGGGGGCAATGGGGCAGGGGGGCAAGGAGGCAGCTGCCCCCTAATTTTCAGGCAATTTGACTTTTCTGGCAGACGGGTCAAGTGAAACAAAAAAAATTATTTTATGTAGTTGGCAAAATAAAGTGCCCCAAATCTAATAAAACACCAATTTTACTTTTCTTTTTATTGAATACCACGAATTTGTACTGAATCAACTATGGATTAAAACATTTTGTCTGAAGTCACTTTACTTTGTGCAACATTTTCGGGCATCGATTATTTTTTGTGAATGCAGCTGCAACAGTCTGATTGAATGGTTGGAATTCAGGTCAGCATTGAGTGGGATTTCGGTTACAAAACCATTGGACAACTTTGCAGTTGCTTAACTCACGGGCTAGAATAGCAGAAAAACGCATTTGCAGTCGTTTCATTTTCAAAATTTTCTCCAGGATGGCGATGGCCCCCATACCCCGCAATGATTGGTTGTTTGTTTTGGATCCGGGTCAGCCACTTAAGGTAGGATATATTGGACCACATTGAAGTTGTTGTATTCAAGGGTTTGAATAGCAGGAAAATGCGTTTGTGGCAGTTAAATTTTCAAAATTTTCTCCCGACGAGCCCGTTTCCGTGAACTGTAAACGATTGATTGGAATTTGAGTCAGTCACCTAAATAGGCTCATTAGTTGCTGTATTTATGGGCTAGAATAGTAGGAAAATGCCATTGCGGTCGTCAAATTTTCCCAATTTTCTATTTTTATTTGGGGGGGGGGGGGAAAGGGGACTAATCCGAATTTTTTCAGACATTTAGAGTTCTGACCCCCCTAACAGTCATCCAGCCCATATGCCTATGACGTTAATTAATGCATCTCATTATTCAAAAAGTTTCTTTGGATCCATAAATCAGAAAGATAATACAAGTGAACTAATCAATAATTACCAATAAAATAAGCCTTTTATAAAATATGATTCACAGACTCACTAGACATTATACAAAAATCAAATAAAGATGGAAGTAGAATCCTTTTAAATCATGTGCATGGAATTTGTGCTTAAAAAGATATTCCTGGGGTGTATTCATATTGTAATTTCCTTTCAGAATAGAGAATGTTAATGTGGTTATTTGAAGTTTCTCTCTCAAAACACCTCTTTAAAATCTCATACAGTATGTACAAACATTTTGAAGATGTCATCATGAGAAACAGGGTTTCTTTTTATCTTGTCTATATTGTTACTTCATGAAAATCTCTCATATGTCTCAATTGTCAACTTTCAAGATGAAATACATATACAGTTTAATTAAATTTCCTTCACTCACAGACTACATCAGACGACAATCAATATGAAGGCATATTGCTTTTGATTTGAAAACATTATTGAAAATAAGAGTCTATTCTAGCAATCAGACATATATGTCATCAATGATCTACTTTCACTATGAAGCAAGCAGTAGCATAAAGTTAGAGCTAATGTCAATTACGCTTTTAGATCTTCATTCACTGTCATGGTCGCCATATATAGATCGTGTCAGCCTACTTCCGGTTGATTACTAGGTTAAAAACACGAGAAATTGTCCTTAATCTACATGAACATTTGGCATTTTAAAAAAAAGCTCAAACAAAAGTCATTTTAGCTTTCATAATAATAATCGCCAGTTGCTGCTTAAAAGCTGAAGACATCACTTAAAAATACATTATGGGAGATTAGATAAAGAGCTGGCAGTTCTCACTATAATAGTTAAAAACTAGATAATGTTAAGGGAATTTGCGGAAAATTTCAGTCAAATT